AAAACTGAATATATCTCACGTTTCTTTTGTAAATCCGCGCGAAGTATATTGCGCTTGTTGATACGCTGTTCCAAGTATTGTATTAAAGATTGTATCATTTGATCATTGTCCGAAGTAATGGTTTCCAATTGTGGAAATGATCCTCCCAAACTAAAATAATATTTAAACATTCGATTATATTATGCAGCAATTTATGAAAAAAATAAGCGAAAAGAGAGGGGAAAAGAATTTGAATTATAACTGTTCAGTCAACTGTTGCAATACCTGTATACTAAACCTAGATCAATGTTCAAATCAGCTGCTTCTGGTCGGCCTTCTTTTTCCAATTTGCTTCTTGCTTCCTTGAATATCTAAGAGAATAATAAAATTTGTATTAACACGCACGTTAAGTGTGCATATTCTAAAATTAGAAAATATTATATAAGCTAAAATTGTTACCTTATTCGCTTGCCTTCTGCCAGGAGTGAAACCGAGATCTAATTTTACAGTAGTAGGCCTTGTGATATGTACTTCTTGAGTCATTTCCGCGAATTTCATTACTTGCTACATATTAAACATTGAAAAAATTAATGTCAATTTTGTATTGCTTTTCAGATATATATTTAATAAATCTCACTATCACACGTACAATAGTTTCGTCATAATCATCCGCTCTTGGATTTACACAGACTATCATTCTGACCTGTCCTTCCCCATCAAAATAGTTTTTGAATAAATGTGTAAGCTTAGAATCCCGATAAGGAACTATTTTATTTGTACCCTGATTCTGATTCTCTCTCAAAATTTCCAAACATGATCGCAGAGTCATTAGAGAGTTATTAATATTTCCTATAAAATTGAATACTTGTTGTTCAAAAGCTTTCATAAACATAAATGCAGCAAATGAAATGTCTTACCTGCTTCTCGTAAACGTTGACCGGTATTTTTAGTGCGATTCGTTCGCTCGCTACCCGCTAAATCTACTAAAGATAATTGACTTACACACACAACTTGTTTAGCCTGCATTACCTGTTCGCCTTCACTATCCAAAGGTGCCTAAAATAAGTAGGAAAATAATTATGTGCAATTAATTAATAAACGATTAAAATGCAAGTGATTGTATTTTAAGATATTTCTGAAGTCTGAAGCTTCAGACACAATATGAGAATAGCGAAAGCGATAGAAATATTACAATTTGAACCTATCAGAAATATATATTCAGAAATGTGTATCTGATTGCTGATAGGTTGAAATTGTGTTATTTCTATCATTACTATTTCCTCACATTAGGTCTAGGTTTTGAAAGTGGCGATCATAAAGAGTTGTATGGCTGCTCTCTGTGCCAAAGATTCGGATTCAAATCCACCCAGAACATACATATCAAATTTTGTCATTGCCTCTCGGAAAGCAATAGCAAACCATCAGAAGTATCTTTGCTATGACAACCTCTTTTGATATGATCGTTTAAATCTAACATAAAAAACTGTAATGTCCATTTTCAATGTTGATTAACTTTAATCTTGTTTTAACTTACTCTTTATACTTTTCTAATTTTTAGAACTAGAAAAAGATAAAAACCAAGGTTAAAGTTAATCTACATTAATATCTTATATATCAGAGGATATATGCAGAAGAAGTCACTAAGTCTCTGACAAGATTGAGGAGAAAGAGAAGTTGTTCAAAAGGATGTTGTACCTGTACGAGTCTGATGGTGAAAACGCTATGTGATCTACTCGACTCTGCATTCAATGCTGTGTACTCAACGTGTCTTTTCCATTGTCCACGTTGAAATAGCTCAAAAGCTTCTTCTGCACTTTTTACTTCAATTTCCGTAACGGCGTGTACATACATATTTTTGTTACCATCTTCCCTTACTATTTTACTCTGCAATGTCCTATATTAAATAATAAAATAAATATGTGATTTTCTACACGCATAATAAAACTGCAAACATTTCCTCTTATAATATGTGTATATATACATATATATATATGTATATATACATATATATATGTATATATATATATATGTATATATATACACATACATATATACACTTACTTGGTTCTGACATAATCTTCATCCAATAAGTCATATACACTGTTGTTGTATATTTCAACATATGTGACAAATACAGCGTATGCATTATCTACCTCGACTGATACACTTTGAGATTCATTACGTTTGTGAGCTACCATTGGTTTACTATCTCCATCACTATGGCTATATTGAATATTATTTCATATGAAATAGCACTTAATATTACCTGCATATGTAATCTAGCTACATAAATAGAGACTCATCTATCTATATAAGAATTCTATCAAATAAAGACTTACTGTTTATCGAATCTTGCTCTTTGCAATAGAAACTGCCTTTCCAACATAGCATCAGTCTGACTTTGTATATCAAAACCATTTAGTTTATCCGGTTTAAAGACAAACTTTTTTGTTTGATAATTGGCAATAGTATTAAAAATAACATCCAAACATCGAGGCATGATACCAGCATCTTGTGGTTCTCCAGTCATCGTATATGTTTTCCCACTACCTGTTACACCATATGTAAATAAGAGACCATTTCTTCCATTAATAAGGTTTTCAACCAGAGGAAGAGCAACAGTTTCAAATATCTCTCTTTGTGTCACATCAGACTTAAATACATGACTGAATGTCGTTTTTATCTCCTTATTAGTGCGAAAGTTGGCTGCTGATCCTGGAGGCGTAATCACTACAGTCCTGTCAGATTCAACTGTCATACATGATACATCCGTTGAAGATTGCATTGGACGTAAACGACAATAAACCTGTACGGGATCTTTAGACATCATATTCGATCCCTTTGGCCGACTGATTGGCTTACGAGCTGAAGTTTTTAAACGTCTGAAACATTTGTGTGGAGGATATGTTTACTTTCGATTCACCTTGTGCCCAATTTCTTCACTTCTAGATAAGTTGCGAATAACATTATCCAGGAAATACCTCCATTGTATTCTGAGAGATATCTCTTGGATAAAGTTATCTACAGATGAAGAAATTGGGCATTAGTCTCTTAAAAATCGCAAGTGTATATTTAAACATTCAAGAGTCAACACTTATTGAACTTGGATACAGAATTATATTAATTTTACAATACTTACGCGGGCTTCATTATATAAGTCAGTTTAATTTTTAATGTCTGTTAAGAAAGTCGTAATTTTAACGATTCCTCACTCTGTAATAAATCGTGCCAAATTATGACACTCGTGTAGAAGTTCGTTACGATCTTTCGAGCATTTTCGAATTGAATAGACGCTATTACTATGCAGAGTTGCCAAGTTGGGGGATTTTCCCCTAAATTTGGGGAATTTCGTCAACAATAAAGGAGCCGACAACCAGGGCATGGTGGAAATATATAAGGTGAAGCAATAGATGCGCAGTAAGAAAGTGCATATTCGGACATATTTGATTGGCTATTCCAGTATAACCTGCGCAATTATAGGTAGGAAAGTGCATATTCGGACATATTTGATTGGCTATTTCCAGTATTGCCACCGCCTATTATGAGTATTGTTACACCTTATATATTTCCACCATAAACCAGGGTATAGCCTTGTATCCACGATGCTAGAAATCGGTCCGAGATCTCGGACAGAGAAAAAATTAACAAATTACATTTGAACAATTTGATCACATGACCATTGCGATTGGTCAATTCTTTCTTCATCCGAGGTCTCGGACCGATTTCTAGCATCATGGACACAAGGCTTAACAATCATGAAATTTTTTTCCTAGGATGAAAAGCGAAAAGTGAAAAATTTCTCCATTAACTTCAATTACTACGTTTACACGGCACGCTTTACGCAGAAGTTATAACATCGATGCTATGAAACTGGCCAATCACAGTCGTTCCATTCTTCAGAGGAACAGCTATGATTGGCCAGTTTCATAATATCGATGTTATAACTTCGGCGTAAAGCGTGCTGTGTAAACGTAGTAAATGATT